AACTGATGAGACGAATTAACCACACCAGAAATGAGAGAGACTCAACTATATCTTTAAAAAAAAAAAAACTCCACAGGGGTGACCGCAATGTGTTGACCACCGACCAACGAAACATGCGACCTTATAACAGGAAGAGCATGAGCAACGCCGTCCTGGGAATGTGGTGAAAGGACCTATATAACGGACAAAAATATTGCTGGAAAAGGCAAATAAAATGTAACAAATAGTTACTAACTGATGTGTGCAAACTACTTTAAACTGTGTGTAACTATGTGACGAATGCAGGAAAAAAATAGACACAACAAATAAAAAATACACAGACGAAATACTTAACAACACGAGATTAAAAAAAAAAAGAATTAAAAGGAAAAAAAAACCCAATTAAAAATTAGTAAGTTGCAAGTAACACTTAAACTCCCTGCACTGGTATGCGATCATACTTACACGAACAGCAGAACCACCACCAACAACCGCCCGTGCAACATTGTCATTACCCGCATTGACACTAACTTGCACCGACTTTTGGACTGCAAACTCCTGAGTCAACCCAAGACTAAATGATGGCATGTCAAGACCTGGGCTGGTCTATAAGACAGAACGTGCAATCTCATCAACAATACAAATATTGTCAGGATCATCCCAAATGTGATCATCTTCTTGCGTAACAGATGGAGGCACAGACGCTTGAGCAGCAGCACCCGCACACACTTGACGCTCAGAGAACCCAACAATCTGGTTTCCAGCATCCAATATCTTTTGAAAAGTAAGTGAACGCACAGGTTATTGGGGGTGTGCTTCCAAAAACGCCACGAGATCATCCAACGCCTTAGACGCAAGTACAGACTTCACTTCAAACTGTTCTTCCACAGTCTGCGCATCCAAAACCAAACAAAATCAATTGGAAATTAAAAAAAGGCAACTGCAAAGACGGGAAAACACATGATTACATGGAAAAAAAAAAAAGAAAAAAAAAAAAGAAGGAAACCAAGAGGAAAACCTTCACAGCACCACCATGACCAGCACCTGTTCCCCCGTCAAACAACGAAGGCTCAACACCGCCTCTCTCGAAACCACCAGCCTTAATCTCCTCACTCTCACGCTTTTTAAGTAGATTGAATGTCCATCCACGACTAGAAGGCAACAACCGTGGCACCGGTCACTTCGAAGTTGTCACCTGTCCACATAAAACATCTGCACACGCATATAAGTGGTTTAGTTGCACAGACTACCAAAATGAAAAATATATATATATATATTCACAGAACAATAAAGAATCTTACAGTCAAGAACAAAATGGGGCCCGTAAATGGCTGAGACTTCTTACGCATCCATTTACCGTGACTATCAACCAAGCATTCTAATAAAAACCTACACCAATTAAGGTCTTAGATCTTATCAACATCTTCAAAGTGGTTGAAAATGAGCTGGTACGCATACCCGTTACCCATAGTCGAGCAAAGTGTGCTAACTACTAAAACTGCAAAATTAAGCTTGAACCACTCATTGCATCACCCTCCAAAAGATCACTAAACTTGCGCCCAATCATGCCCAAAGTAACATCATGCTTATCCCTAATAAACTTTCCCCTCCATTCCCTCAACTTGTCACTAACATCATCTTGGGCCGCTTCGTGATGACAATCTCACCCCGTGGTTAACCCAACACCGCCTTAACATCCTCCTCGCAGATATCAATCAAGACTCCATTATCCAACCTAAAACACATGTTGACTGGATCAAAGTTAGTCAAAAGCCACCACCCCATTCGCTTAGGAATATCATGAATCTTCAAATAAAAAAGTTGGTCTAAGCCCAACTCCCCCACTGCCCTTCTTTGACGGGGATTAAACTTCTTCATTGAAACCACTAACTTAAACACTGATACACGGGTGCTAATCTCAGGAAAGATGCGAACTTCATTACCAGCACCGTCTTGCCTAGGGCCTTGCATCGGTGTAGAAGAATGCACGCGTCCACAGGAGGTGCAGAAACAAAGTCATCATCATTCGAAGAGTGAATTCCTTGACTTTTGATACGGACACCATTCCTAGATTTGGAACCTACACGCATAGACATAAAGACATGTTCAAAGATTGCACACACAGGAAATGTAGTATGCATAGACTTAACATGTAGAGGCGAGTTTAGGTGCGACGGTGTCCTTAGGTGCGGCAGTGCGGCGTCACCAATAGTTCAACAAATATACACCATCAACATTAGGAAAATGCACCACAAAAACACACAAAAATTAGGTACGCATCACCAAAAACTCACCGTTAGGTGTGAGTAAAAACATCATACAGTGTTCGAAAATACACCATTTGGGTGTGGTGAGTTATATGGTGTATTTTTTTTGGGTATGTTGTGTATCTTTGGTATTTTTTTTTTCATTTTAATGTGGTGTGTTTCCCTTACATTGTTGGTGCATGCTGTTAAAACTGTTGGTGTATTATGAAATTTTGCCGCACCGCCGCACGGGAAGATCCCGCCGCATTTGGACTTTCTTCTATATATATATATATATATATATATATATATATATATATATATATATATATATATATATATATATATATATATATATATATATATATATATATATATATATATATATATTTATTTATTTATTTATTTATTTATTTATTTATTTATTTATTTTTACACACGAACCGATATTTCAATTGTTATCTAATGCATTTTACTTTTGTTGCTTGATAGCGGAAGAATGTAGTCCTGTACAAGCAAAAACCACCAGATAGTAAACTTAATTAAGTTTTTACAGCAGGATCATGCCAATTTCCTTTATTTTACCTTCACCCACCCTTCTAAATCTTCCGTACACGTATCCTATCTCGACCCAAATGAGAAATTTCATTACAAAAATATAGTAATTAAATAATAAGATAATAATAACACTTCAAAAAGTGAAATATAGAATGTAATTTTAAATATATAAAAATAAAAATGTAGCATAAAGTAGTAGAAAGAGACGAATTGAAGGGAAGGGTTGATGACGTGGAGTGAGTGCACACGTAAAATAAGGAAGAGCAAACGTGCGAGCTACATATTCATATTACTAAAATTGTGGAGAATATTCCCACAGCAAAGCCTAAGCTCTCCCAAACCCCAAGAACTCAGACTTAGACACCTGTTTAGACCATGTTTTTAAGATACCTATTTTTGCTGAATGTTTATCGCCACCATTTCTGCGCACCTTATATCCCTTCCAATGCACCTAGCCTCCCGCCCTGCCCTGCCCTGCTCATTCCACCATTCAATTATATTGCTTCTCCACCTTCACACGCAATAATTTTCATTATTTTCTTTTCTTACCTCCTACCTAGCTTCCTAGCTAGCATCACAATTAATGCTTCCCCAAATGATTATTATTATTTTCTTACTAATTTATCCAACCCGTTTAATATTTTGACATTTTGTAATAAATTTTCTCTTAGAAATTTAAACGTATAAGATTTAAACTATATAAAATTATATATAATCTCTTGCCCATTAAATCATGTTTAAATGGTTCACATACATGCACCTAACCCTTTAATTTTCAGTCAGCAAATTGTTTACATTTGTACAAATATATAATTCAATAGTCAATAATGACAAGAATTTTACAGAAAATACTATTTAAACTTTAATATCTTGAACTAGATTTAATATTTCTTCACAGAATATACTATTTAACTTCAAAACAAAATATTTTTCATAGAGAATCCTATATATTCTTATAAGGCCAATCCAACCTGAGTTTATACATATACCTTATTTGATAGGTACACTAATTATCTCTCTCTCTCTCTCTCTCTCTCTCTCTCTCTCTCTCTCTCTCTCTCTCTCTCTCACACACACACACACACACACACACACACACACACACACACACACACACACACACACACACACATATATATATATATATATATATATATAGAATTAGGTTCAAATGAGAATCTCTGTTAATAAGTGAACATGTGTACCATTGTGCATCGTTGATCTTGTAATGATTTTGACTGGTAAATATACATCACTGCACCATATTACTACACTATTGCACGACTACACAACTGCAAAATGCACCATTGCACTACTCCTCAAATCTCTGCCATCCAATCTCACATCTCAACGGTGCATAGGGGTTCACGGGTTCACACTCAAGCAGTGATTCTCACCTGAATCGGACCCATGACCCCCCTTGGTATTTCAATGATATGGATTTTAGGAATAAAAAAATATAACTTTTAGACAAAATTACCCATCTTTTATTTAACCTAGAATTGATGTTTGTCATCTCTCTTTCGATTATAGTGCATGTGTCTTCTTCTTCTACTCTCAACACAGAACATCAATAAATATGTCAACCTCAATCAAAAATGTGTTCTCAAAACTCCTTTATCTATTTTATTGCTTTCGTTATACAATTTTAGAGTTTATTTACAGCGAGTTACATAAATTTTCAAAAGCAAAATTTGAATTTGGTCAATTAGGATTAATAATAATAATAATAATAATAATAATAATAATAATAATAATAATAATAATAATAATAATAATAATAATAATAATAATAAGTATGGGTATTTTAGACTGTATACTACTTATTCCCTTTCAATTCCCATGCATGTACACCAAACATCGTAATTGAAATCCCCGGTAATTCTATTCCTATAAACCAAACACTGGAATTTAAATTCTCGATCACTTAATTTCCAGTAATTCGTCTCCCATGGAATTGCAATTCATTTCCTATGTAATTCCCTCCGACCAACCAAATGCCCCATTAGTTTTAAAAGGAGAAGTTTCAAGCATAATTCTTATTTTTGTTAAGGAATTTAGAAAAATTGATAAAACACTATCTATCATTTGAGAATAAATAGGAAGGAATGAAACTAACCTAAAACGCAGAAGCATATATTGATTACTAAAAATAAAGGAATTGAATTTGGAATGAAGATGCATGCATGCATGCAAATATATTGAGGTAACACAACTACACAAGCATAATTATATATGCAGCGAGTAGGTCGAAAATAAATCATTTTCCATCTTTGAAAAATTAAACGAATAATTGAGAATAACTACCACCTATGTACGTACAATGTCTGAATTTTTTTATTTTTTATTTTTTTTGAAACATGTATGAATTAATTAATTAACAGCACTGATTTTTATTTTTTGTTTTTTGTTGTCTGTATGCGTTGGCCGGTAATTCTATTGTATTCTTCATGGATCTTCAGGGCCGTAGTGGAGATCGTCGTCCCAAAATGAGTAAGGATCGAGATCGTCGTCCATGTCGCCGTCGTGATAGCTTGGGTCGGTGTCCAGATCATCGAACGGCCTAGGGCTGCTCTGATCATCGGCGACGATTATCTGCTTCAACTTGGACAGCGCCGAGGTTGTCTCTGTGTTGGCCGCCATCACCTCCATGCTGAGCCCCGTCTCCTGCGACCCGCTGACGTTGTTGTACGATGTCTGTTCCACTTTCAACGCGGGAGTGTTCACCTGCTGCTTCGCAACAGTAGCGTTGTCCATGAAAGCCGAGTAGAAGAGGCCGTCGCTGGCGAAGCCACCCGTCGGAGCTGGGAGGTTCTGAGGGTATAAAACGGCGGCGGGCGGCGCTGGATTAGCAGAGCTGAGGAGACTGAATTTGTAGTTTGAGTGCAGCATGGGGAAATACGGAGACTTTCCATGTGAGGAGGATGAGGATGCCGCCGCCGCCATTACTGGTCTGGGTTTGAAGTCTTGATGATTATCATCATTTTCAAGAAAGTAGTGTTGATTGAAAGCAGGAGACAAATCCTTCAAAGATGGCAACGTTGTTGTTGGCGCCGCCGCTGAAGGACTATGAATCATCAGATTGTCCACAAATGAATCATTATCATTATTCTCCATTGGGATTCCTCTCACCACTGCCACGCTCTTGTGGAACACTCTACTCACCACCCATTCTGCATCCTGCTATCACATAAATAAATCACAAATTCTAATTAATATTATTGCACCACAAATCTAATCTCAATCTCCAGCTTGGCCTGCCTGTTACACAAATTAAAAATCCACCAAATTCAAACACCCTATCGATCTATACATATCTCATACTCTTTCCTCATACCTTATCTGTATGTATGTAGTCCTATTCTATCTACCTGTCTCATTTACTATTTCATTTCTATATATATATGTCTTATTCGGTTTGTTCCATTAACTATATATTTTAATAATTAACTTGATCAAATATACATAAATTATATCATCCAAAATCACAATTTTCAAAACATATAATTAAAAGAAAGTGGACAATCATTGAAGATAGAATAATATATACTAAAAAATTTGATTTTTTAAATAAAAATTTAAAAAAAGAAAAAAAGAAAAAAAAAGGTGTCTAGCTTGTATTTGAATTGTGTGAATTTATATATGTCTACTTTTTTCGAAAGCTACTGACTCAATTACATTGTAGTATCTGTTTAAACATACTTTTTCAACATAATGAAACACACAGAGTCAACAACACCTTCACTGAGGCTCGATCTCATGACCATCTTAGGAGGTGCAGCAGGTAAATTAAGATGCAGGTATATATGCAATGGTAGATGAAGGATGGGAGGTGAGAGGCAAGTAGCTTACCCTGATTGTTTTATTGTAAGAGAATTCACCTTCAAGTCTAAACTCATGCATAACCCAGTTAGATTTTTCACCTTTGGGAGCTCTACCTCTGTAGAAAACAAGAGTCTTCTTCATCCCAATAAGAGAGTTACTCTTTCCCTTGAAGATCTCCTTGTCTTTTCCGGTAGCCTTCCAGTAACCGGATTCTGTTGCCCGGTTAGTCCTCATCCCCGTCGGATACTTCCGGTCTCTCTGACAGAAAAACCACCATTCTTTCTCCCCCATCTTCGCTTTCTCTGAAAACATAACCCCCCCACACCATATATATATCTCTTAATTCCTTAATTTATAAACAATTATGCAGGATCTGAATTATTCTTAACACAGAAAAAAAAAAACACCCAAGAAATGATGAACTCAAGTGTCAAAGGCCTTGTAATCCAAGGATCTTGACATTCCAGAGAAAAATTAAAGAAGATAGGTAGATGATCGAGCTGAGACAAATTGAAATTAATTAAGAAAAGACTTACTAGGTAAATCCCAAGGTTCAACCTTGTTAAGATCGACTTCTCCGATGGCTATAGCGACGAAACCATTGTTGGAGACCTTGTGTAAGAGGTAGTGCAGGATGATCTCTTCATCCGTAGGGTGGAACCTAAAGCCTGGAGGTAGGCCTAACAGATCATCTTTATCTCTTTCGTTTTCATCTCCGTGAGCCACTAAAGCTTCCTTTCCAGTTTCGAATGTTTCCATTTCTGCTCAGACAAGAGAAGAAGGTAAACCCATTGAGAAAGTAGGGAACAGGGAAATGGAGGGTGTTTTATAAGCACAAACCACAAATAATGGGAGTTCCGTGAGGTGCAAGTCTCTTACGTAAGAAGCTTATAAGTCTAGTTAGCGGACTTCTTTTTTTTTTTTTTTGGCAAATTTTCTGCTTCTTTTAAATTTCATTTGGACCCCTAAAGTTTCTAACAATAGCAAGCGTGTACCTTTTTATTTTAAAATATACATCATTACCCGTCGATGCAAAGTTAGTTAATACTAATTGAGGTATCTGTATCCTCATGTAAGAAGCCTGTAAGTCTACCAAGCGGACTTTCTTGCAATATTTTTGCTTTTTCTAAATCTCATCCGAACCGTACCCCTAGATTTCTAACAAAAACAATTAGCGCATATCTTTTTATTTTAAAACCTGCACATTATTCGTTCATATAAAATCTATACTAATTGAGATATCTTTATACCTACGTAAAAGTCTGGCAAGCGAGCTTTCTGCAAATTTCATGATATTTTTTAAATCTCATACGGACCTGTACAGTTTCTAACAATAGCAAGTATTTATCATTTTATTTTAAAATTCGCACCAGTAATTGATGATATAAAATCAATACTAGCTAATTGAGCACCTTTATACCTACGTAAGAAGCTTATAAGTCTAGCGAGTGGACTTTTTTAAAAATTTTTTATTTTTTAATATCGAATTCAGATCCTTAAAGTTATCTAACAATAGCCTGTGTATGTCTTTTTATTTTAAAATTTGCACTATTATCCGCTAATAATATAAAACCGATATAACTTTATACCTACGGTCTACGGATTTTTCAGCTGCACCCTTATAATAAATTGCAATATTCATCATCTATTAGAGAAAAATAAAAAATAAAAAAAAAAAGATGAAGAAAGAAAGAAAGAAAGAAAGAAAAGAAATTCTCATCACGCACGCCATTATTTTTTAAACCAAAAGTTATTTTCCAGCTGCTTTAAAGAACATAAAATGCGGTCTATCTCCTTTTTTTTTTTCTTTGTTACAACAAAGATTTCTAAATTCTTTAAATTAATGTTCACGAATATTCACCTAGGACAATATAACTTTTGGCTTAAATGTCGGGAACTGTCTTAAATATTAAGAAAATGTTTTATAAATACGAAATTTAAAAAATAATGTTTGTAATCCCTAAACTACAGAGTAGATCGATAAAAGTGTAACTTAAATTCTTTATTAACTAATGAAATGAATGGTGAAAATTAATATTGGGGATATATTTGTTATTTAAAAGAGAAGAGGGGGTGGTAGTGAAATTATATATGATTCCTTAATTAATTTGAATCCATCCAGATATGAGATATGGTGGCTGGGCCTGGTGGTGGCATTCTGGAATTGGTCCCATTATCTACCTGTTTGCAAAAAGGATGTGAAAAAGAAGAAAAAAAAAAAAGTTGTTTTGGAGACTTATTCTGTTGCAATATCCTTTTCACATTAAAATAACATTAAAAGTTAAATTGTTTATTGATATGTTTAAATTTTTAAAGCTATCCTTTCAAAAAAAAAAAAAAAAAATTTAAAGCTATATATTTTCATCTTATTCAACTTCTACAAGAATTTAATGTCCTTATTCAATGTCTTGGAAAGTTTCCCCTTAGTCCTTACAATGAAATTGGGATATTATGGACCAAACCAAGTCGTTTTCATTACTTGCCAATGATATTTCGTGGTATATTCATAGTTATATTCAATAAATTTAATTGAGAGATCTGAAGGGTCAATTAGATATAACATCTTTCTATCAAAATATATTGCACTAGCTACTAGCTAATTAAGTATAAAGAAGCATAGTTAAATGTATCATCACTACTACTAACTATACCTTTTAATATAATAATGATAAACGTTTCATCCTAATATTAATTAATATCAAGGTAAAATCCAATATTATATTCTTTCATCTAGCACCAACTGTTACATAAATATAAGAAAATATAGTTGTGTTTTCGTTACTACCTATTACATATAGTTTGTATGTGGCAAATTATTGTGTGGACCATAATAAAAAGTACATTTTAATATACTAAATGTATATTATTTGTGTATTTAATGTACATTATACAAAATAATGTACTTTCAGTACTCAAATAGTGTACTTTTCCTGAATACAATGTACATTATTAATATACTAAAAGTACATTATTTTTGTATTAAATGTACATTATTTTATAATATACAAAATATGGTCCACACAGTTTGTATGGACCATGGTCGACACAATAATGATTGTTTGTATGTAGTAATATGTGTTTGATATTGATAGTGGTCATCTAAAATGTGTAAATGGGGTTATAAACCTCATATGATCATATTAGTGACTAAATTAATTCATTTAATTTTCTCCATATGGAATCAGGACTTGCAAATGAGATTTCATGGCAAAGTTATAATTAAATAAGGCGAATTAAAAGTTAAAAATTTATGTGAGTTGCTTTATAAATTACAATCATCTAGAATGTGAAACACCATCAATGTTATTAAAATATTTTATAATTAGAAAAAATTAGTACTATTTTTAATCTAGTGAATAGATAATGAGATGTATTGATATTTAATTAGAGTGGGTTTAAGTGTAATTGAATAATTAAAGAATTAATGAGTCAGTAGTATGTAATTAGAAATTAATTAAGTATTGTTAAGACGTATTACAAACAACCACCCCTAATTAAGAATTGAAAGTAGAGATTCTTTAGAATATTTTATTTGATGTAGTGAGAATAAATTATTAATTAAATCCATATCTAAGCCTCTAAGGTCCACAGGCAATGAGGCAAACCACTCTTGCCCTACCCCACTTGGACCGTTAAATAGTAGAAATTCTACATGGCAGTTGGAAATTTACTGTTCTGTCTTATTTTTCCCAGTCAAAAATAAAAACTAAACTACATGATGAAGCCATAACACAAGTTTGCTTTTTACAACAACTTCATGTTATAAGAATATTCAACGGTGGAATTATTATATTGTTTCTCTTATGTATATATCCTTTTTTATTTTTATCCATTTATTTTGAATTATGAACTGAAGCAATATCTTGATTACTCTAACAGCAAGTTTGGTTCACGGAATGAATTTTGAGGTAATATGAATGTTATTCCATAAGGAAAGGAATAGGCAAGAAATAGAATAGGAATTGTATTCTATTGTTTGGTTCGCGGAAGGAATAGAATTTAGTAATTATATTATCGTGTTTGGTTGGTTTAAGGAATTGAATAGAAATGAAATATGTTTTAAAAGACATAAATACCCTTACAAAAATATGTGATGGTGGTGGTGTTGGTGGTGGCGGCGACGGCGGTGGCGATGGTGGTAGTGGTGGCGGTGGAGGTGGCGACCGCGACAGTGGTGGTGAAATAAGAAATAAATTTTATTGGGGGTAAAATAAGAAATAGCAACTTTAGGCTATTCCTGAGGTAAAATAGCAACTTTAGGTAAAAATAAGAAATAGCAACTTCAGGAAATAAATTTAATTAAGAGAACTCAGGAATAGCCTAATACCAGGGGCCCTCATGAATCTCTATCATAGATAATTCACAGAAACATTGTTCCTGTGAATAGATGTTTTTACCAAATAAAGAAATAGACCTGCTGGAAATATTATTCTATTTCAGGCCTATTCCGCGAATCAAATGTGCCATAAGTGAATTAATCTAAACGAAAACCAAAATATTAATTAAGTTGATTGGTACTAGTTCTATGAACAAAATTGAATTGCTCGGAAACTAAGTTATTTGGTCATAGATTTAAATTTAAATTGTATTTATTAAGGGAGTGTTTGGATAATAGCTGATTAGATAATTTGATCAATTTTAGTAGATTGAACCATGGTTCACATACCACTGTGTTTTAAAAATATATTTTTTGTTATGTTCCATACAATAATTTGCCACTTTTAACAGCATTTCCAGGTATAGAGTTTTGTAGAAAACATTTGATTTCTCCAAAATACCACCACACTTAATATATAAAAATAATTCTGCTTTTTAGTAGAGCTGAGGCTCCTATTTATGGTCCAATACTCCAATGTGGGACAAACATCGGACGGGTAGAATGAGGAGCCTTGAGGATCCTATTCAAGGCTCCTCCTCTACATTTCCCACAGATGTGAGATCAGTGGGAAATGTGGAAAATAAGGGAATCTGCCTGCACAACAGGCTTCCTTATTTTTTTTTTTCTTTTTAAAATATAATTTAATTGTTAGTCCGTATTATTTTATAATAATAATAATAATAATAATAATAATAATAATAATAATAATAATAATACTATTATTATTATTATTATCAATTTTAATAATTATTATTATTAACTTTAATAATAATAATAATGATATTATTATTATTAACCTTATTATTATTATGTTTTAAATTATATTAATGTTTTAATAACCTTCTCTGCACATATAATGAAAATGTAAGGCAAGAGAGGCCCCCCTTGTCAAATCCCACCGGGCGGGACAACAGTACCCCCAGACTCCCTATTAACCAGAATGTTATACCTGATAATCGTGACACACAACATGATTAAGTCCACCCATCTGACCACAAAGCCTAACCTTCTTGCATCTTTCTCAAAAATTTTTATGTCATTCTGTCATAAGCTTTTGCCATATTCAATTTTAACGTCGCCCAATCCATGTCCCACTTGGAGAATTTGATTCACAGAAATTTCAATTATCATAAATTATTAAAAATTAATTTAATTTAGTTAAGTATTTAATTTATTTTTATTCAATTTCGTGCACAAGAAAGAGTAAGTTAGAGATGGATTTCCCGTCCATAAAATCTTAAAAGGAAATTAAAAAAAAAAAGAATATATAACAAACAATCATTATTGTGTGGGTTATACTATCAAATAATATATATTTAATATACAAATAATATACTTTTGCTATATTAAAAATGTATTTTTTGTTATGGTCCACACAATAATTTGTCACATAACACCTAGTCCTACGAGAGCATTTGATCAATTTTTTTTAAAATAGTTGC